AATGTAAAAAATAGGGATCCTTTTAGGTTAGTTAATATCAGATTAGGTAAAATAAATAATAATAATATTATAATTAAAATGTTTTTCAAGGCACACATGTGAGCAGCTCGTAGTAACTTGTGGGTAATGTAATTCGTTACTGTAACATGATCTGTACATTCCCCGAGTGATTTACAACTTATAATGGTGCGGATAGTAGTTAGACATGGTTCAAAGTAGAATAAAACAATAAAATGTAATTATATATAGATGTATACTGTTATGAACTAAGAGCTACTTAGAATAAACAAATGTAGTTTCATGTTACAATTTGAAGTCATTCTAGAAAGAAAGAAAAGGGTAATTTTGATTTATTTTTATTTGTTTTGGTGGTTACAAGGTCAGTCAAGTTGACCAACCACGTATAGAGTTAGGGTAAAAAAATAACAGATAAAATATAAAGTTTTACTGAAAACAAACATTTGGAATGTATTTATGAGGTTTAGAGATTACACAAATGAAATTTTAGATTTTAATGTTTAATCTTAACATGAAAATCACTTTGCATACAGACTACTCAAAACAAATACTTGATATATTCAAGAAGTCTTTTTTAGTTTATTAAAAATTCTTCACTAAAAATATGATTTTTGTACGTGAAAGACTTATAATGTTTACTGAAAGACTGCCAAATTTCGTGAAGATATACACATTATATTAAAAATTATTAGTATCAAATGTATAAAGACTTTAAACAAGTACAAAGAGGTCATGTGGTTGGTCAAATTGCCCGAGCCCGTGTTCAGAGAGTTAGGTTTTTGAAGGAAGTCAACAATCCCATTCATCTAATATCAAATGTTATACATTGTCTTGTGACCTTTGTGTTACCATATCTAGCCAAGTGTACAGATTCTTTAAAAATAAATGGCCAATGAAGAGAACTTATCCAGAAATTAATATAAGATTGGTTTTTAAAACTCAAAGAAGAATTCAAAACTTATTTTTATTTGAAAGACAGTATCCCATCACTCAAGCATTCCCACATCATCTATAAATACTTACATCCTTGCTGTAAGAGAGGTTATATTGGTTCAACTATTTTATCATTGAAATGCAAATTCAGGAACACTTGAAAAAAAAAAAAAAGGTTGATGTGCTGTTATTTGTGTGAGTACATGCATGGAACTGTAGTATTCCTCTTTATAGCAACCAGTTTTCAATCCTTTGTTCACCTGATTGCTTAGGGTTAAGGAAACTTTATTCATAAAAACTTTAAGACCATACTTGAATTTAAACAAGACTTCAGTACCATTAAGACTGATGATGTGAGTAAAAAAGTATATTCTATGATATCACAAGAAAACCAAAAGCTTCAACAAACTATAAAACCAAAGCATAATTGGAATGATGAATAGATTATCTTTATATGGCTAAAACGTATACATTAAATTTTCTTTAGTGCTAAATAAATCAAGCTTTTAATACTATTTTAAATTTTATACATTCCATTTGTGAGTTTATCATCTAGATTCCTAGAACAGTGGTTCTCAACCTTTATTGGCTTAAGACCCATTTTTAAACAATGATGCCAATCATCATTCAATAAATAGCTTTAGTTAAAAAACGATCTGGCTTACTAAATATTCGTGCTCATGCAATTATGTGGAAATTGAGTAATGAATTTCACTTGTACAACAATACATGTGGTAACTCTGAGACTTATTAATGTATCCTCTCAAAAACTGGTAAGATTTTGTAAAATATCATAAATATCTTGGGCACAAAGAATGACATTATTATAACTAAGTGTTTTTACTAAATAATATCATAAGCCTTGAGAATGGACGCAAAGTATGATGTACATTTAAAAAATGTTTAAAACCTTTAACTAAACATTTTAAAACATAACTAATACATATTAACTAAAATATAATAGTAAGACCTAAATACAATTTAAACTGTATCTCTAACTATAATATATTTAGGAAAGAAACAACCATAAGTGCTATAGTCGATCAAGCAGCCAACAATAATACAGTCAATTACAAGTAATCTGTGATGACAACTGCATATAATTTGTGTACCAATTTCAAAATAACTGTTGTTAGATTATTGTGTAAAATGATCTCCTTCTAATGATTATGCACATCTATGTAGCATCTACATGTAGGCTATAAAGCTCAAACAAGTCTGTTGAAGGTGGGCATGGCATCTGTCAGAGGTTGAAAAAATTTATTAGTTGTTTCAAATGTATTCATTCAGAGAACTTTGAAATAAAGGAGTCAAAAGGTTACATGAGCAACTTATTGTCTAGACATACCTCTAACCAACTACCATTGTATTATTGAAGATTCAGACGGCCAAAGTAGAGAATTTTCATAGCTTATTAGCCATGTGACAATACATCTGAAGTTTTAAGTAGTTTATTTTGAAATAAAGGACTTAAAACTTGGATAAAATAAAACTTTAATTCATAATATACATTATTATATAAATTTCATTCACATACATTGATAGTAAAGGTGTTTAATTAAATTTTGAATGTAACACAGTGATTTGAGCAGAAAAGCATTTAAAGAGGCTCCCGTTGTGAAAGGGTTAAGGGTAAACAAAACAGGTTGGGGTAGGACCCTTGAAGGATGATAAGAGAAGGCTCGTATACGATGATTATGAAATGGCTGGGTTATTAAATTCTGCTCTTTCCTTAGTTTTTACTAATGAAGATTTAAGCAGTATTCCACATCTTAAACAGTTGATAGATGAAAACAATATCGAACAAGATGAATGCATTAAGTCTGAGCTTTTATAAAAAATTGGAAAGTTTAAAGAATGATGAGGCTCCTGGGCCAGATAATATATCCCCAAGGGTTTTGAAGGAGGTTAGGATTGGATATGTGAGGCACTTGCTACTATTTTTTGTAAGTCCTTAAATAGTGGGCAGATGCCAGTGGATTGGAAGTTGGCTAATGTCACTCCTCTTTTCAAGAGAGGTGATAAAAACTGTCCCAGTAATTATAGGCCCATTAGTCTTACATCAGTTATGGGAAAAGTTTTGGAAAGTCTGAAAAAAAAGATGCTTTGCAAAGCCATTTAACAAAGTTTAGAATTTTATTAGATAGTCAAAATGGTTTCACTAAGGGAAAATCTTACTTTAAAAATCTTTTGACATTCTTTAAAAAGGTTATTGCTAAGTAGATGATGGTAAGGGTGTAGATTTGGTGTATCTGGATTTTCATAAAGCATTTGACAAGGTGCCACATAAATAGCTTGTAAAAAAATTACCTCTGTAGGTGTGGGAGATAATTTAACAAATTGGTCAGAAGAATGGCTAGATGGAAGAAAGCAGAGGGTTGTTGTAAATGGAGTTCAGGTAAAATGGATTAATGCTACAAGTAGGGTACCTCAGGGCTCGGGTCTTAGGATCTTTGTTCTTTTTGATTTACATCAATGAAATAAATGAAGTAATGGTCAATAAATTACCTAAATTTGCTGATGATATTAAGGTCTTGGGTGTTGATAGCTGTGAAGATGCTGCTTAGGATCTTTGTTCTTTTTGATTTACATCAATGAAATAAATGAAGTAATGGTCAATAAATTACCTAAATTTGCTGATGATATTAAGGTCTTGGGTGTTGATAGCTGTGAAGATGCTGCTGCTGCTTTACAAAAGGGAATAGATCATTTAGTGAGCTGGGCAAATAAATGGCAAATGGTTTTTAATTATAATAAATGCAAGACAATACATGTGAGTTATCATAATTTCAATTATATGTATAATTTGGATGGGAATAACCTTAACAGTGTCATAAAAGAAAGAGATCCTGATGTAATAATTGATCAGTCTCTTAAGCCATCCAAGCAGTGTGCTGTTGGTAGAGGTAGGACAAATAGGATTTTAGGTTGTATCTTCAGAAATATTGAATACAAGTCTAAGATATAATTTCATTGTATAGGTCAGTGGTTAGGCCACATTTGGAGTATTGTATTCAGTCTTGGGTTCCTTACCTTAGGAAGGACATTGAATTGTTGGAAATGGTTCAGAAAAGGGCTACTGAAATGGTGCCTGGGATGGAGGGGTTGTCATATGAGGAGAGGTTGAGATCTCTCAAATTGTTTTCTATATCTGATTAAGTTAAGCTACATAAATAAATCATAATTAAAAATTAACCTAGTAATCATCAGTGGGGTACCTGCACAGTTAGCAATATTTTGGCCTTAATCCCAATAATATATCATAAGGTATGGCCAATTAAAAAAATTTAGGTTGGTAGTAAAACTATATACCAAGCTAAGACTGAAATATTCCTCACAATTCCCTGTCTCTTGAAATAACCTCAGTAAAATAAAAAATTATATTGAATACTTTTTTTTACAAAATAGCACATAATACAAAAAACATTAAAATACAGATAAAGAAACACCAAAAGGAAATACAAACCCCTTCATAAGCCTCCTCTGGTACAACACAAATATTCAAGTACACTTGTTCAAAAGTCCCAATGAGTTCAATGGTATTGGTGGTAAGATTCACAACTGGTCTTAGCATGCGGGCGGGAGTAGAAAACAAGTAAATACCAGGATACTGAGATGCTTTGGTTGTTGCTTCTACAAATGCAATTTCTAGTGTGGAAGGCACCTAGTAAGATGAATAGAAGTTAGAGAGTAGCTAATTACAAACTAACAAATTTTTCAATTTGAATGTTTATTCAGTAAAGTTAATGAATCAATTTTGATTAATTCTGCACATAAACATTTATAATTTAAAGTACACAATATATTTTATATTGAAAAATAGCTATAAAACTACTCATTTCAAATCAAAGGTTAAGAGCAAATGCTCTAGCATAAAAAATATATAACCCTAACATTAGTGATACAATAATCAGACATATGGCAGAATATTGTGCTTTGACATTATACTGCTAGCAATGAGTTATCAGAGTAAAAATATAAGACAGAGAAGTGGCTGAGGATCTTATCAAGGTTTTGATTTTAAGCACACAACATTAGTATAAGAGAGTCTTTGCTGTTTGTGATAATTTTATTCCATATGAAAGTGTAATGTCATTAATTGTGAAGACGTAAAGTTAATTCTAGTATGTCGTCAAGAACTTTTAGATGAAAAACTCAAACAACTTCTATATCAAAACAAAAAATTTATTGAATGAAATAGTCTCCATTCTTATCAATGAAGCTTTTTCATTTTATAATCAAGTTGTTAATGCCTTGATTAAAGAAATCACTTGGTTTTGAAACAAAAACATGCTGTTGTCCTCTTTAACACCTTCCAAATACAGATCTTTTTAAGTTATTTAAGACTAAATTAGGTAAAATAAGTAATAACAATATGATTAAAATGGTTTACGAGGCACGCAGGCGAGCAGCTCATGGGTAATGTAATTCGATAGCGTAATGTAAGTTGCACATTCCCGAGTGATTTACAACTTCTAATGGTATGGATAGTAGTAAAACACAGTTCAAAGGGCAATAAAACAATAAGATTTAATTATATATAAATGCATACTGCTACAAACTTAGAACTACTTAGGATAAACGAATGTAGTTTCATGTTACAATTTGAAGTCATTCTAGAAAGAAAAAAGGGTAATTTAGGTATATTTCGATTTATTTTTGGGGGTTACGAGGTCAGTCGAATTGACCAATCTCGTTTTGAGATAGGGCAGAGAAAATAACAGATAAACTATAAAGTTTTACTGACAAAAAAAAGTTTGAAATGCATTTAGGAGGTTTTAGGGATTACACAAAGGAAATTTGAGACTTTTGAGATGAGTAAAAGTATTTTTAACTTTAACATTAAAATTATTTTGCACACGGACTATACTAAACAAATATTGAATATATTCATGGACAAATCTTTATTATATTTTATTAAAAATACTTCACTATAAATATGAGTTTTTGTATGTGAAAGACTTATAATTTAACTGAAAGACTGCCAAATTTCGTGAAGATATACCCACTATATTGAGAGTTATAAGTATTAATTCTATAAATACTATAAACGAGTACAAAAAGGTCATGTGGTCAGTCAAATTGACCAAGCCCGTATTCGAAGTGTTATGATGGTGTTGCAGCAAACGAAAACGATGGTAATCTGATGGTGCCATATCTGAAGAATATATGGTGTGTAGGGGAGAACTTTAAAGCATCAATATCAATTCCAACATGTCGGCCCCTGCTGTCAGAGTTTTTAAGGCTAAAGTCACCTGAACAAAATTTTCTGAACCATCGTTGACACTTACGAATGTTCAAAACATTTCCGTAAACTTCTTTGATAATATTTGTGGCTACAGAGGCATTGTTTCCCTTCTTGTATTCAAACAGCATTACATGCTAAATGTGTGTCTCATCATGTGCCGTCACTATAACGGATTACAGTATACTGAACTTTACACATTAAGTAGGCTACACTAACATAACATTTAGGCAGTTTGTTTAACTATTATATGTGATGTATGTTTTTTGGGGGTGGTTAATGAAAGTGTTCCAAATCACGATATTAATTTCTTGATGACCTAATACTATATATGCTCATTTACAGTTAGAAGTTGAATGATAAATTATGCTTGTTTGACATAAAAATGAGCTAATATTTGCAGTGACATAATACTGTTCCTGTCAGATATCCAATTAATGTCACATTACTATTCCTGTCGGATAACTAAGCAATGCCACAAGGTTGTTCCTGTCAGACAATCTATTAGTGCTATAATATTCTTGTGCCATAACCTGTCAGCATCATAATAATGTTTCTGAAAGATAAACTAGTACAATGTTGTTTTTATGGGGCATCCAATAAATGTTAGAATGCTGAAAAGTTTTTATTTGTTGAATAACAAATTAAGGTTAAAATAGTCTACTTAAACATCAGCACAGTTTATAGTTTTAATGGTGCATCATACATTTGCAAAAGGCACGAAAAAAAGAAAACACCTTCAAAAGCTATTTTTAATTAAATTGTTTACTTGATGCATGGAAATTTACATTTTATTTTTACAGGTTAGATACAGAAATATGTGCATATTAATATTCATTCCTTACAAAATCTGCTTTTATACAACTCAATGGTGCAAGGATTCCCTGTTGACTAAGTAGTCTTGAAACATCAGCAACAAGTCAATCAAAATATTTAGCTCCCAACAAACTACTAATGTAACTGTCTACTAACATTTATACAAAATGAGGAAAATCTTTCTTATGAAATGAATAATGCTTTCTCATTTCCAGCAAAGTTAGCAGTTCTACACTTCACACTGTTTACATAGTCAATTTCTTTTGATATATTTGAAAGCTTCTTTGATCAAAATAGTAACTTGAGGATATATATATATATATTATTGCATATCCTTTGAGAAGCAGAATACAGAATTTGTAATATACTGAGTATGAAAACATATTGTAAAATTTAATTATAGAAAAATTGTTTTAAAAGTTAAAGCTTAAAGTAGAATGACATAAAATTCAGTTCAATATATATAATTTACAACTTGCTAGATAGCACCACAATAACAACTTTTTTTTTTCAGCCATAATCAATTCCATATAAGCCACTTATGCCTTAAAATATTGTAATTATTCTTTTTCTTGTTTTTTGGAAGGCACTAAAACTGTAATATTATCTGGAAGGTTTACGACATATACCATAACCAATGATAAATATTATACTCAAAAATAAAGAAGTAAGAAAACAGTTAAAAATAAGCTTGTGTTTCTTACATTTATCTCATTCACTAAAAGTTTTAAGACATATGCCCTTCCTAATGAGCCAATTTGAGACCATTATGCTGTCATAATTTACCAACAGTTTATTCGTCCTGCCTATGCCATGATTTTATGATGTCATGAAGATGAAACACATGTATGAGTTTCCACATTCCAGCATGTAATAAAACTGCAATAGTTACTGCAACAATTTTTTTAATTTGTGCAAAATTTAAAAGTTCTCCCTTGAGATATATATCACTATCAATACCACTTTTTTCCAAGTAACCAAATTTTAAACTCTGTAGCTTGTCTTGGAAAGTTGGTGCAATGCTCTAAAATGTTGACATAGACACTATTTTCTTTACAAGTTCCTTATAGCAACCAGTCATAACATTATGCAAAACTATCAATGAGCAAAGGGTATAAATTATGTTGGATGCTAATGTCTATTATCTCAAATAATTTGATTATGATAGTTATAAATATGAATATTTTATTTGTATAGTTCTAAAAGAACTCACATTTAGAAAGTTGAGTAAAGTAGCTTTTTACTATAAAAACTGGAAAAAAATTCACAACTGCTATAGAATATTTTAATTTAAAGAAATATCATATATACATAAATTGCAAGTGCTTTATAAAGTTACTAATTTCTTTTTCACAGTTATAAGTCAATACTGACATTACTCCAGTGGTTACAAACCACCTGTCCATAGGGAGATTTCAGCCAGCGCATAAAACAGCTGAAACAAAAACATGTTTTAAAATATAGTTACTGAAGTATAGTGTTTTAAAATGTAATTTAAACATATTCTAAAAAGTTTATATTATATGAAGCAGTCCATGAAATTATGGGGTTGGAGATTGCTGGTCCTTCTTTGGAAAGAAGGTTGGGAACCACTGATCTATTCTGTAGTCTAACATTAAACTCACACTTCAAATTTTTATACAAACACTAACAAATATCTTTAAATAATTTGGAAACAGCATATTCTTTAATTGGAAGTGTTTTTCAATACTGTAATTTATATTTTCTATAATTTGTCTTTAGGAAGAACTGGAGAATGATTGCACCTCTACACATAATTCAAATAATTATTCATAGTATTACCTTCTCTTTTTGCATGACTTTCATGTATCGAAGTTTATCAACAAGCTTTGCAGCAAAAACATGTGGAACCCATCCAACAAACTTGCCATCCAAAAGAACTGGATATGAATCTTTCAATGAGCAAGGAGATGGGCCATCATATGGGGACATACCAAGTGAAACAAGTATTCTTGGCAAATGAGCAACAGGTGGTTGAAAAGTTACTATCTGGAAAATAAAGAAACAGCATAATCTCAATAAAATTGTATTAATCCTCTCTCTACAGGTAGGTTAAAGTGTGCATGTATGACCTTTTATAGAGCTTCATTCAAAGTTTAGTTAATTAAACTACTTTATTATCAATGTATACACACAAACCTTTCATTAAAACTTAGTTAATTAGATTTTAATAAAAGTTTAAATTTCTTACTATTAAAAGGAAGTATATGAATAAATCCTAATTCTTTCCTTGTATGAGAATCTTGACATTTGTTTTCTAGGTCTAGCCCATTCTATAACTTATTAACCACCCCTCTCTGAAGTACAGAGTTTAATGCAAATTACTTATTATAATATAGATACTGCTGAGGTGAAGTTTAATTTTTAAAGCCTCCAATCTTCTTTCTTTACTGGAGACATAAACTTAAAAGTCAGAACAACTTGCCACATCCACATGTCACATCCTCTTTCATAAATTTACAATAATTCCATCTGATGTTTTGTATCATTTATAACCAATAGGAAGACAAAGTTTTAATATATCAAATGACATATTATATTACATTATTTTAAGTGCAGAGTATTGTCCACTCCATCTTTAGTTTAAAAGTTTCTCTTGCAGGGTTCAGATCAAGAAGCTTAGGGAATTATTTTAAGGCTCTTATGTCATAGCTAGAAAGCCAGTTAAATTATGAGTAAAAGTACATTGTTTGCTTTGTGTGTTTGATTATTGTATGTTCTGAGGTGCATTAGTTAAGTGAATAAAAGGTATTTAGTTTACCATTTCCATTACTATAAAAAAAAGTAGGCTTAAATTTCATTGGTAACTAACAGCAAAAAATAAGAGGTCAAAGGTAAGTACTATATTTCTCATTTTTCATGTATATTTTTTATTTATTGTTATAAAAGTAATTCAAATGTAAAAATAAGAAATTTATTAGGTTAGATAAGGTAAGATAATGAAAATTAATAATTCTCCATGAGGTGTGCTCATGAATAGCTCATGCATAATGTGAGCTACAGGTTTGCCGAGTGACTTACAACTTGTACGGAGGATTATTAATTAGACGCAGTTCAAAGGGCAATAAAACAACAAAATTAAGTAGAAACATATGTATATTGTTATGAGCCTCAAGCTATTTAGGATAAACACATGTAGTTTTCTGTTAGAATCTTCAGTCATTCGAGAAAGAAGAAAAGTGTAACTTACAAGGTCAGTCAAAGTGACCAAGTATGTATATAGTAATGGTAAAGAAAATAATAGAAAGAATACAAAGTTTTACTGAAAAAAAAGTTTGATATTTATTTGGAATTTTTTTAGAGGCTAAGCAAATTAAATTAAAAAATTTTCAGATCAAGAAGAGTATTTTAATCTTAACACAAAAATCACTTTGCACTCAGAACAGTCAACACTCTTACTCTATACCTTCATGAAAATTTGTTTAGTAAATTAGTAAAAACAGTCAATTGAAAAGTCTGATATTTTTTTGTTTTTGAAAGACTTGTAATGCTTACTAAATGCTTGCCAAATTTCGTCAATATATATTTACCATATTAAAAGTTATAGTATGGAAAGTGATGGTTGCTTTGGGGTTGCAAGGTAGGTGTAATCCACCAACCCTGTATGGAAAGAATTATATGACCACATGGTATTTCCAGGTAAAACTGAAACCAACAGGTTACTTAACACTAAGTATCAAAATAATAGGAGAATTAAACAGAGATGTTTGGAAGAGAATTAAGAAGGAGAACACATAATATACTTTAAAAAACATCCGTTAACAAGAAGAAAAATATTTATTATACACCGATAAAACATGATGGGCTATACTATGACAATGGCTGGCTTCCGAGATCTAGCATATTCTTTTGTGACCACTGGTGCTAGGAGAAAAGTAAGAGACTTTTGCACCTAATGAAGACAAAACAAATTGTCATTTCACCTTTAAGGTCAGACCAAAGTTCTATAGTGTGGCACCCCACAATCTAGATTACTTATATAAGTAGTCATTTGTATCTTACACAGTTAGGAGAGATTAAAGATTAACTCCAAGCTCATGCTAACTTGTACAAACCTCTGTATTACCCCTCTACAGAAGATTAAATTATATCAGTTTTGAACTGTATTCTCTTTTCTTCATCTCAGGGCCTTCCATGGCTCAAATATTTTAAATTAAGTTTGGCTGTACAAATTTATTAACTAACCCACATATGCATTATTTCCATTAATCATCTCTTTAGATGAAATTCAAAGGGTTATGAAACCTACAGGCAAACAAAGGAAACTTTAGTAAGTACACAGATGCTCCAACAGTCAGTAAACTAAAATTATAGAATAAAAGAGACTTAATATAACAAGAGCAAAACTAACATAACAGAATGAAAATTATGCAGAACTAAATCTGAAATCATTAGACTGAACTGAACATGGTAGAAAAACTGCACTGCACAAAATTCATTTAGTGAAAATGAAATACGAAATCAAAGCAAAAGATACAGAATTAACTGTAATTAAAAACTAAATTAAATACAAAGTTAAATGTAATGAAAAGCTAAATACAATACAAAATTAAAGCAACTGATCACAACGGATAATCAGCAAAAGATGGGATAACAATCTGAAATTTATAGAAACATGGGAGAAAAAAATAAATACAGAAGCAGAATGGCCAAGTATATGTATAAAAGTTTATAATTAAAAATAAAACAATAGATGTAAAATATAACATTACACCAAAACTCAAAATAATGGTAAACCAAGTAAAATGACTCACAAATGTAATACATCAGAATAAAATGATGCACAATAAAAAGGTAAATAAAATTTATAAAAGCAAAAATAAAATCAGACAAAAGCAAAATTCTTAAGTTAAACTCATGAAAATTAACTACAGCTCAACAATGTTGTTTTGTAATTGTGGATGGTCAGTTATCCAGATTCACACTGTAATGGTCATAGAGTAAGCAAAGTAGAAGTTTGTTTGTTTTTTTAATTTCGCGCAAAGGTTACACGAGGGCTATCTGCACTAGCCGTCCCTATTTTAGCAGTGCAAGACTAGAGGGAAGGCAGCTAGTCATCACCACCCACCGCCAACTCTTGGGCTACTCTTTTACCAACGAATAGAGAAAGGGTGAGCATGTTTGGTTGGATGGGGATTCAAACCTGTGACCCGCAGATTACAATTTGAGCTCCCTAACCACCTGGCCATGCCGGGCCAAAGTGGAAGTAACCAAGGTTAATGGTAACATTAGGATTGAATCCATTGCACCATTTCTGAAAGTGATTATATGGTTACCAACACATCTAAGATTGCTAGTTGAGGATTGTGCAGACAATCTAAACTCAATGCAGCAGAAGTAACTTATTGACTTGTTAGCTGAATATGTTGATGTATTTGTGGGACCAGACAGTTAGATTAGGTAATAGAAAGAAAAAAATAATAACAATATATATTCATGAGGTAAACTCATAAGCAGTATCATATGTAATTCAATAGGGTAACATGAGCTACACTTTCGTCAAGTGATTTACAACTTGTGTAGCAGAATTATTAGTTAAACATAGTTCAAAGGGCAAGAAAACAATAATATTTATGTAGAAATAGATGTACATTGTTAGGAGTTTTAACTATTTAGGGATAAACAAATGTAGTTTTATGTTACAATTTGAAGTCATTCTAGAGAGAAAGAAAGGAGTAATTTAAATTTATTTCATACTAGTAGAGTACCTGGCATTGCTCAGATGAAAATGGCTTTAAATATTCTGAGTTGTTTTTATTAACTCTCTCAACACAGGCTCGGTCAATTTGACTGACCACGTGACCTCTTTGTACACGTTTAAAGTCTTTATAAATTTAATACTTCTAACTTTCAATATAATGTGTATATCTTCATAAAATTTGGCAGTCTTTCAGTTAATATTATAAGTCTTTCACATACAAAAAATCATATCTTTTAGTGAAGTTCTTTGAATAAAATACAATAAAGATTTATTCAAGATTATATTGAGCATTTGCTTTGAATAGCCCATGTGCAAAGTAATTTTCGTGTTAAAATTAAAAATATCTTTCCTCATTTCAGAAATCTCAAATTTCCTTTGTTTAATCCCTAAAACCTCCTAAATGCATTTCAACCGTTATTTTTCAGTAAAACTTTATAGTTTAGATGTTCTTTTCTATACCCTATCTCTAAACAGAATCTGTCAATTTGCCCGACCTCGTAACCACCAAAAAAAAAAAATCTAAATTACCTTTTTCTTCTTTCTAGAATGACTTCAAATTGTAACATGAAACTACATTCGTTTATCCTAAGTAGCTCTAAGTTCATAACAATATAAATCTATATATAATTATATTCTATTGTCCTTTGAACCATGTCTAACTACTATCCACACCATTATAAGTTGTAAATCATTTGGGGAACATGCATCTCATGTTACACTATCCACGAGCTGTTTACATGTGTGCCTCATGAAATATTTTTATTATAATATTATTATTATTTCTTTTTACCTAATGTAGTCTTAACTAACCTACGAGCCCGGCATGGCTAGGTGGGTAAGACGCTCAACTCGCAATCTGCGGGTCGCGGGTTCGCGCCCCCATCCCACCAAACATGCTCACCCTTTTTGCCGTGGGGGCGTTATAATGTGACGGTCAGTACTACTATTCGTTGGTAAAACAGTAGCCCAAGAGTTGGCGGTGGGTGGTGATGACTAGCAGCCTTCCCTCTAGTCTTACACTGCTAAATTAGGGGATGGTTGGCGTCAGGAAGGGCATCCTGCCGTAAAAACCCTGCCAAAACCGAAAATAGTGACCCCGTATAGATACGGGAAAAAGCTACGGAAGAAGAAGAATCTTAACTAACCTAAAAGGATCCCTATTTTAACATTTTAGTTACTTTATAATTATACATAAAGAATAACCAAGCTTCTTTTTTCTTGCTATCGGTTTTCGAAGAGAGTTGACCATAAATTTTTATACTAATGATAGTAATGCACTTCATAATTTGTATTTAATTAAATAATGCACCAAACAATATAGACTCATAACATGCAAAAAGTAGACAAATTACCTTACTTCTCAAACATTTCTAGATTTCTAACTATACAACAACATTCATTACAAATTCATCCAAGCTAGACATTAACTTTCTCACGAGAACGATGTTGGTACTCTGAGTGAAATTGACATTTAACCATTCAGAACATAACGTTATACAATGTCATTTGATAGATGAAAACCTTGACTTTCTATTGGTTATAGGTAATATATAATTAAACATAAGAGAAAACTACTAACAAATCCTGAAACACAGGTGGGCATGGCAGGATGGGTTTGATTTCCTAATCAATAGCTCTGTTGCCAAACAAAATTAATGATTTTAAATATATGATTTGTAAGAGCAATAACTATTTTATAGAAAGTAATTTACGTTTATTTTCGTTCAGTTTCGAGGGGTTATGGATAAAATAGGGATGATGACATGCTAAGACAAAATGTGTCATGTGTGTCACACTATTGTAAATTCAGGATTTTTTCTAATATCGTCTTGTGAAATTAAGAACTTAAAACTTTTATATACTATTTAAATATGGATTATTAGGTAAGATTTTATGGCATTCTGATTGGTATAACGTAAACAAAAGTTGTTTAATAACATTTTTAATGTAAGACACTAAAACCTCATGTCATGTGCAGTAAAGGGTACCTGTGGCGTTAGGGTTAAACCAACCATATTAATTGTAATTTTTTGCACTTTATTGACTTATTATCATTCCATTAATGAAGAATAGATTTATTCTCTTCTCATTGCAACACAACATAAATGAAAATTTTCAGATACCAAATGTTTGTATAAAAAAATCATCATATAACTGATCGTTACAAGCAAAGGAAAAGATATGGCTCAAGCAAGCCTATTTAGATGAGAGAGTGTGCACGCATATTTGAGAGAAAGCATCAGCCTTTTTCAATTAAGGGGTGTTAGGGAGTAGGCATGTATGTGTAGGAGAAAGAGAGAGGGAGGGAAAGAGCAGAGAATCAAATGAAAGCTGCACAAAGGTTTTAAATCGTTTTAACACATAATTGATCATGAATACAATGATTAGGAGAAGTCCTCACACAGAGAAGAAACATAAATAACAGCCCTCTTGATCATACATTACCAAAAAAATTCACCCTTTTCAATTTGAGACCAATTGGTCATCTTGTTTGCCAAAAATTGCTATACTAGTCAACTTAGCCTCAATTTGTGGCCTTAAAACAGCTTCTGTATCTGTACCCCAAGTTTGGAGTTTGTAGCTTTAAAGATGTGGCTGTACATAAGAAATAGACACATAGAGAGAGAAAGAGAGATTTGTGCTTATACATATAGATTTTTTAAGGTGTTTACGAGGTCGGTCATATTGACCAACATTGTATAGGGTTAAAAAAAATAACAGATAAAATATAAAGTTTTACTACAAAAAACGTTTGGAATGTATTTAGGAGATGTTAGAAATTGGAGATTTTTCAGATGAAGAAACATATTTATAATCTTAACATTAAAATCACTTTGCACTCAGAGCAGTCAACACTTTGACTCCATATATTCCTGGAGAAATTTTTAGGGAAAACACACCTTTAAAAATTCTGATTTTGTGTCTACAAAATACTCTTAATGCTTACTGAAAGCTTCTAAAATTTTATTGAAGATACATAAAACATATCAGAAGTTATCATAGGGAAACAATAAAGGTCAATTTGGAGTCACAAACTTGGGGGATTCAATTGAGCCCATAGCGAGAGTGTTAAAAATACTTACAGATACGAGGGGTAAGAAGGGTCCTAGACAAGGGACCCCCTGACAACCGGCAAAGGAGGATACTGACTAGCTATTGATAAACAGTTATGTAAAATAAAGGCAGAAAGGCGGTTCACAGAATGAATGTCAGGAGGAAAGGGGTGGCAGAAGGACCAATGGCAAAAGATCCACCACTGACACTGAGAGACAAAGAGAGTGGAAGGGCAAGAAGAAAGTAATAAGAATAATGCCACATAAGGAGAAAGCAGGATCCAAAGTATGACAGAATGGACAAAGTCCCTGTGTGAGGATAGAGAGAAGATGTCCCCCAATGAACAAACAAGGTGAAGCAAAAGAGAAAGAGGGGAAATAGGGTATGGAAGGGGGTCTAAATGACAAGCAGACCCCTGAGAAAGAAGGACTACTATCAAGACATAAGCACCCAGTAAATGACATATAAAAAGACTAACCAGATGATAATTGGCCCAGAAATGAATGTATAATGCCCAAAAGTAAAAGGTCCTGGAGCAGGAGCCTCATGGATGGATGGAGCAAGGAACGACAGCAGTGGAATAGTCTGAATGGATTCACTAGTAAGGACAGGAATTAGAACATGCCCAACAAACAGTGAGAAGATCAGGCACGGTGATGTGGAGTGGACACCTGTCCAACATTTAAATGTCAAAAGATCTTCCAACATCTAGAAATACTCCAAAATCAGAAAGGGAAGGATTGAAGAAGGGAGAGGCAGTAAGGAAATGCAGGAAGCAGTGCAGATGTGATTCAGTCACCACTAAAATTCCTTGAGGAGAGGCTCATAAAAGAGAACAATGTACCTCAAGAAGAAATTCTTGGATCTGCAATGTTAACTGTAGGGGATACATGAGCTTGTGCCCAAAAGTAAGAAGGTATTCCAGGGAAGCCAGAGGTGCCAAATGTAAAAGAACCTCTTGTGCAGGTAGAGAAGGAGAAGTGTAAAGTCAAGTAACCAGACGTGTCATAGCTCACAGGCCAAGAAGAGAAGACTAAACTTGTTGAGACAAGAGAGGAAGAAAATATTCAAAAATACCAAATATTGAGTAGATGTGAGAAAGGACTGAGATCCTAGGTAAAGTTCCCTATTCCCCCAACCAAGTAGCCACCGTAAAAGAAAGGGAGGTAGGAGAAAAGAACTACAAATGGAATAAAAAAGTAAATATTCCAATAAAGGAACACGAGCCTCAGGCCTTGAATATGGCAAAAAAAATTGTCTCATGATACCAAAGAATACATGATGGGCTGACATGAAGGCAAAGGGAAGAGCGCAAGGAATGGGAAGATGTAAAAGAGATGGATAGAACATAGAAAACAAAGGGAAGATGGACTGAGAAAGACATGTAGAAAGGTGCCCAACACATTGACCATGATGGAACACAGACTGGGTGAAAAAAGATCAAAGATGATGCTCAAAGAAGGAGAAATGGAAATGGGAAAGGAGGCAGAGAGTAGAAGGACAAATAAACAGATCAAGGTGGAGAAAAGAAAATTTACTGTCAGCAGGATAAGAGATGGGTATCCAGAGGGTCTACATGCATAATAGTCACTGACAATACGAATGACAAAGTTGATGTCTGTAAGGGGGAAAACAAACAAAAAAAGGGGAAGGCATGGAATCTGGAATGGGAAGGTGAGGAGAAGACTAAATCAGACAAAGAGTAGGAGTAAAGGCAAGGTTAAGAAAGAAGAAAAACCAGGGACGATAACAAGAACAGAAGCCGTATAAAATCACTACAGGTTATCAAGGAGAAAGGAGTTCTACTGAAGACAATCAGGCAGAGAAATGGAGCCAGACAAACAATAAGTATACAAGAAAAAGTAAGGAGCATAGTAAAGAGCACAACCCAAATTAATGAGGTCACACTCCAACAGATCATTTCCAACTAAGGAAAAAGAAATTTGGCCAATGGGATGGGAGTAGGAGTCAAGGAGGCATATGGTAATCCACAACATTGAACAATGGCTGCAACAACTCTGACAGCTAACGAACCTCGTAAAGCCATAATAAAAATAAAACCTAAGTGCAAATGAGGTCACTCACTCAGGACTAAGCATAAATAACAGTCTTTGAGAATGCACACTAAACATTAAAGCTTTTTAAACAAAATCCAAAGAAGGCAAAATACAAAGTTTCATTAATGATGCAAATCTCAACAAACTGAACTCAGACAAGAAAATTAAACATGTCTGATCAATATAATGCCAAGAAGAAGAATGAAGTTCACATAAGTGCAAATGCATAGGGAGGTTATTGCACATGGAGGTGTATTACCATCTTATTGGTGGAAGACTTCATCACATGATTACATCATCATATAGTAGCACAATTTATATTAAATCATGTGAATTAGGTGGGAATTGCCTTGAGGCTAGTGGCATGCAAATCTTTTTGGTAGATGCATAAGGAAGATAGCTAAATCTGTGTGTAGAGATGAGGTATCATTTTGGAAGTTATAATCATCAAATTATGAATAACATACCTAGTTTTAAACTGAATAAAATTTTATAAATAATCTACTGATTTCCATACCTCACACATGGCAGAAATGTGGTTGAGAAGACCACATGGAGCTCCATCAGGAGTGTGAACTGGACAGAGAAAACCTGAAACAATTAAGGAAAAACATGTAAAACATGTGTTTCATGTTAAAAAAAAACTCTGCTGTGTGGGGGAAATTAAGTCCTAGAATTAAAAACACATCACAGAAAATAGTGAAGTTGATAATTATAAAATAATTTTTTTCAAAAGTGAGAACAGAACTAAGGTGTGAACTTTGAGTTTATAGTTTTTCTCAAAATCTTTTTTTGTGTATTACATACAAAGAGGTGAAAGCTACTGTATAGTGCTGAGACCAGATTATAAAATGTGCAAATTTCACTATTCATAACTTTCTCAACTTTGTTTCCAATGAAGGTTAACTTCAAGTGATTACTTTCCCATACCTTAACTGAAATATGTTGTATAAATACTTTCTCTCCTTCAAGAATAATGAAGTTAACTAGTTATAAACAGGAAGAGATATTAAAACAATATTTGTCAGTCAGACAACATTTTATCACGTGATTGATATCAAAATACAATAGTAGTTGAAACTAACTTAATTTGTGGAGGTCAAATGGATCACTTAAAGTTGTAACTTTATAGTAACTAATTATGCAGTTTCTGGTTTATTATTTCTCAATACTGTCATGAACAATTAAAATAATATTTTGTTTTTACATGTATCTGAATTATATTACTATTTGTTGAAAATTTTTGTATTACAATTATCTGTCTTATAAATTATTTTGGAGAGGGGTAATGTATGAGCTCAGTGTTGTTTGGTAAAATCTAATGTAAACTATATGCCTTAACATACTTGGTAAAATTTTATGTAATAAGTTTTCTTTTAGCTTTGGAATAAGTGTGATTAAGAGTTAGCTATATAGCACAGTAAGTGAAATATTTGGAAGTCTTATAGTCTCTTCAGTTAGTAAATCAAGAGTCTGATATCAGAGAAACAACTTAATTGTGTAGCCTAAAAACTGGGTAGATGGCCTGAGTCTAGTATCAGAAAAACAATTTGACTGTGTAGCCTAAAAACTGCATAGTAAGGCCTAAGTCCAGAGTATTGTTTGGGAAAATGAAATATTTGGTACAGGTGACTGATAAACCAGTTATTAAAATCAATACATGGACATCACTGTTTTAAATTGACCAGCATAACACTACATTTTTTAAAATATATATATATAAAACAAAAAGATGCAATTTTATAAAGTGTTATAGTGACTACTCAGCAATATGATCAATGTAATGAGCTAATTAAAAAACAGTTATAAGAATGTTATTTATTGTATCAAAGTGAATGTAAGGTATCAACAAATATGAACAATGATTTTTTGCATATTTATTAATACACAGATTTCTATTTTATAGAAATGTAATAACTATTGGTTGTCTTATATAAAACATACAAAAATTAAAAGCCTGATTAAAATTTCAAGATATATGGTAAGCAACATGAAATACACTGATAAACAAAAACAAGCTCAATAAGTTTGACTGGCTTTACATGATCATACACTATCTACATCATTTTCTGATTAAATGAACCTCACCCCAAGCTTCAGGTAACAGCTTTCTAACAGCTGTTGTTCTCATCTCAGCAAAAAATGATCCTCTATGAATGCTGTGAAAATGAGAAAGATATCGGAAAAAGTTGAGCTTGTCTGCAACAATAGTCAGACCAGAAAACTGCATTAGCCCTATGCCTGAGCGAGAAACAAGATTTCCTGTAGCAAGCAGGTACTCCATTGGTCGAGAGATATCCTTGCCCAAAGATATATACTGAAGCATTAAAGCTGGAGATGAAAAGGAAAGTAATTCAAATAAAAACTCACTATAAACAGTTTATTTCCTTTAATCATCACTCTAATAGCTAGATTATAACAAAATGGCTCAATTAAAATAAGAAATATTATTTGATGAATAAACACTAAAAAAATGAAGATCATTAAATAATAATAAGTTTTAATGCTAAATGATGTTAAAAAACATGAAAACTCAACAATCAGAGGTGGACAGTTAACTCTATTAATCAATATAATACATTACTATACTGATGGCTAAAGGCTGGTTCACATTTAGATGGCTAAAAGCTGATTCACATTTACGGTTTAAATATTTAAGATTGTTTTCTATCATTAAAAGTTTAAAAATGTTAATTATCAAGTGGTAAAAAATTTAAAGTTTAAACTAACTTCTTTAAAACCTAAAACTGTAAAAGTCTGTTCAATATTTCTGAAAATCACTTCTCTCTTAATTCTTAAAAGAGAAGTAAAACGTTTATAGTATTCTACTTCTCACATTGAAAGAATATGCTATGGAAATCTATATAGCTAGAATATGGTGATTTAATCAACAATGTTTACCTATAAAGAAAAATTTTGCTTCAAAGTTTTCCTTGAATCTACACTAGTATGACTAGAAATAAAAACAACTGGTAAAGAATAATTTAATAGTTAATTTTTTCCAAGATTTTCAGTTTTTTAAAACATTCATAAGCTTATATCAATCTTTCTTGCAATATTTTTTATTTTTGAAAAGCATGTTATATATATATATAATTTCAAAGTTGACATGGATTAAATTCACTTAACAGCTTAACCATCTTTTTTCATGTACTATGTATTCTGTTTATTTGTAATTTTAATTATCTTAATGATGAAAATTAATATAATCCTTACACTTGCTAACTGATTTAGGCTTTTACATGTGCTTTAAATTGTAGAATTTTGTTTGTTTGCATGCATTTTCAATTTCACACTATAGAATAATATAATTTTACAACAATTATATTTATATATATCCTTGCATAAAGTCCATCTTATTATGCACACTCAAATTACTTTGAAATCTTTTGTGTAAGCCTAAATCAGTTACAAAGTGTCTTGTTTGCCACAATAAAGTCATAATGGTGACACATTGGCTTAACTAAAACCAATTTTGTTTTATGGAGTAACAGATCACGTTTTAATTACCTTTTTTAACAATGAATACAACCCTCCAGTTTGCACTACAAACTTTAAACTCTCATAATTAACTGGTTATTAAAAAAAACTAGTTCCAAAGAATAAAAAAACAGCACCTGAGAAACAATTACTTTATGTGCTTGTCTGTGGATTACAAATCTTTTAAATCCACATGGATATTGTAAAAACAATTTGTTTAATGGACTATTCAAGGGATTTTTTGTTGAATGTATGCTTAATGCTTGTAAGTATTCATAATCACCATACTGTAAAACTTGTTTATGCCATATGTAATTAATGTTAAATCTTCTGATTTTAATTCAACATTAACCAGTATTCATCATGGGAGTACTATAAATTACACTGTCACTTTACTTGTGTACAACACTAGAAGTTTTAAAATGCTTAATGTATAGAAAAAAATCACAATGAACAAAAAATAATATGGAATAACTCATAGTAAAATAAATTAGAATAAAAGTTTATATAATAACTTCAAAAATAGTGTAATTTGTTACAACCTCTTCTTTCTTTATTTTACAGAGTGCTTTAAGTTAGTTTTAAATTATATTTTCAACCTTGATTCAGATGACAATTTTAAATACTTGTTATTTGTTCAATAAATCTTTACCAATCATTAAAGTTAAACTACATTTATTTTCACAAGTGGCCATTACTAATTCAGTTTAATGTTAAGGCAGACAGATGCAAGTTTTATATATTGATAATGATGCATACTACTAAAGTATGAAGCTCCCCTTCACTAAATGAATATTTTAATTGTAATGTTAACACTGAATTACAGTATTAAAATATAATTGGTATTTCCACTCAGTGTGAAACAGTATGTAATGTCTTAGTTTGTTTTGGAGTTGCTGAAACTAAAAACAATTACTTGATAAGGATATTTTGTTCATTCATGGAATATGACAAAATGTTATTCAATATTAAAGAAAAACAGTTTTCAGCACTTCTTATTTAGAATATTAGTAGGGAAAAAAGTTTGCTAATTAAAAGGTTATGGTGTTACTACATTGGTAATTCCAGTTTTATATAGATATTTTTTATGATATATTTGAAGCCTACTGGATCAGTTTGCAAGTAGTTTCAGTCATGTTGGTTATGTATTAAATGAGACTGATTTTTCCTTTATCCAGCAAATTGAAACATAGTGCACTTTGACAAAAAGGTATTTTATTACATTTTCTCATATACTTAAAGTGTTGTATTGTAAATATTTTGAAATATTTAGAAAATATAATTACAAAATGCACTTTTCTGAGCATTTGAATTACTTTTCAACTTGAAAATGGAATAAATAGAACAAAATACAATTGTAAGTTATGATTATGACGGAAAACAAGTGAAATATGTTTCATCTTCTAAAGACTGTGTTATCTTTATATATGTAGGTATAAGTAAACTTTTTTATGACAAGATAGGTGTTATAGAATTAGTTATTAAACGTGAAGATAAACAGGATCTGAACAATTTTCTCAGAAATTATACAAAAAGGAAACATCAGCTTTCCTAAAAAAATAGTGACTTACTTGTTACTTGTACTTTTAAGAGATCAGTTTCGAAGGAAAATATATATACTCAACAAAAACTCTACATAATAGTTGGTTTGGAAAATATTTCTACTCTAATCAAGTATTTAATTTTATAAACTTATTTCAGTTTCTGAGTTCTAATAATTCCTAATTCTCTAGTTATATGCAAAAAGAAACTTCCTATCATTATAACTTACACAAGACAAATTAAAAAATTCTAAAGAATATCATTAGTATATTACTAAAACATTGTAATCATAATTCAACTGTAATGATAAATACGGTTGGAATTTGTATTTACAAATAATGCATAAAATTTGTACTATTAATACTCACTCCGAGTGAGCTCAAAAGATTGCCCAGATGACTTGATCTTTCGATTAAGTATCATTTTTATCGTGTTAAGCCAACTTTCAAGCTTCTCCTTTGAAAGTAAAAATTAAAAATGTTTCAAAATCATTGCACTAATACATGTAATTTTTACACACTTTAAAGAAAAATACTACTATTAATGGTAGAGACTATTACATAACTTTCACTTAAATAAACTGAAAACAATCAATATCATTGCAAAAAAATCAGTAAATATATTCCTCAAAAATAAACAAGCAAATACTAAAGTAACTTTTTCATTCCTCCTTACCACTTTTATATACAAGTAACACATTTTAATAATTATATTAATACATTTTGCTGCAGTTAATAATTAACTAAAATCCACTAGTAGCATAACTAACTGATCTTTAAGAAACAAAAGAAACTCTTAAGTTCTTTTGATTAATCAATATTTATATAATATATAACCTAAATACTAAGAAAACTAAAATATAAGTATCTTAACACTTGAATTAACTATCTTACATATTAGAATTATACTTCATTCTGTAAATAAACACCTACTTTTAGAACACCTTCCCATTATGAGAATGATAAAACTCTTGCCCAAATCTCATCACAAAGTTTTATGAAATCCATGATCAATCTATTTTGTTCTGTTATGTGCAAGACCTATTTATATGTTTCCTTTCTGGATAAAATGGAAGAAGTTTATGAACACAAGTCCACTACTACTCTTTTCAAGATTGTGATTTTGTTTTTATTAAAAGTGTCACATAACATTCTTATTCAAAATTCTTTGTATGGGAGCAGTTTTAATTCAGATCACACAGTCAAACTTATGTAATGTAAAACTACCTTCTTTCAAGCATGGATTTTTTTTTTTCACAATCATTCATTAATACAAATTCTTTCTGTATTTTTGAGGATTTCTTGTTGTCTCTCCTTTAGATATACAAAAACTCCTCTGAAAGAATGTATCATTCTTTCAAAAGGGCAAAGTAGTACTTCTACCACTATTAAACTAAATGTTAATGCAGTGCTTTTTCAATCTATTGTACAGTCTAAAAATAACCATATTTGATTTGTGGTTGAAAATTCTCATGCATAGCCCCAATGAAATGACTCAGTAAAAAAACAAACATATTAAAACAAAATATATTCATTCAATGATTATCAAGCTTAATGTAATTATTCATGTAAATTCCATTTTAGATAATTATTTGTAATTTCTTTTAACTTGATTCTAAAAAGGCAAATTATTCTTCTAATATTGATAAAACTACTTTTTAATTTCAAACCAATAAAATGGAGACAATATTATTGTGATAAAAAATATATAGATACATGCACTTATTCCAAGAACAAATTTCCTAGCCTAAACTAATCACTTGTTAAGATACTTGCAAAACTACTAAATGTTCAATGAAACTCATTTTACAAAAACTGCGGCATTAAAGTTATTTATCTTTTCCTTGAAAAATAAATGTAATATTACGCACCTTAAGTACCATTAGATAGAGATGTCCCCCAAGTAGAACTTCCTGGTTCATTGGATTATCAGGATTTTCTATAGCACATTCTCCCTTGGCCAACGCAAATAATTTTCTTGTCATATACCTGTCAGAATTCCAGAAAATGATCGAAGCAAACTCAAACAAAACATTTTATGATCAATTCTCAAGTGTACAAAGTATTTGATACACTATCTTTTAACACTCATTATAAGAAATTTCTTCCAAGGAGACACCGTTCATGAGTAGTATATAAGAAATAATAATACAAAGCTTATGATGGGATTCCCAAAATAAATTTAAATTGATGGTGGAGGAAAAAAAACGTTCTATATTCCCTTGAAAGTAATTTGTCAAAAATTAATACAAAGTCACCACAGACAGAAGTCAAAAACTTACAGAGAAACATGCATGCATAGCATCATTCAAAGGATATAAAGCTGCTACAATAGGATATACATTTATATAAAAACTTTTACCAGAGGAGCTGCTAAAATGTATAATAAAAGTAAAATTTGGTGTGACATAATCCAAAATTCTGAAGTTACTATTTAGCCATAATGATAGAATTCATGGAATTTAAGGACATCTGCTAAAAACATGAAAACACTTTAAACAGTTAACATCTTGAGAAGGCATACAAATAAATTTTTAAAAATGGAGAAGAAAAAACAAAAACTAATCTATTGTCATGAATACATGTATGTAAAACTTTTAAAAATAATGAAAACTACATCACAGTACACACAAATGTCTGCATTAATGAAGATGGAATGTAGATATGTGATTTTGAGGTAAGCAGATACTATGTTCATATACATATGAGAGAGCTACAGAATGGCGAGTAAACTTATAAAGTATATGTGAATCAATTTCAAAACTATAATGAATGATATCACGTTTTTGTGTGTTTGGGCTGACAAGAGAAGAACTCAATATAACAATCTGAGTCAAATAAAAGTTATTTATACTAAGAGGTTAATTAGCACATGCAAATTGAATTTTGTTCATCATATATAGTCAATTTCTATCTATCAACATCCAGTTATTCTTAGTAATAGCAACTTCATATTTTGTAAACAAAGTTTTTAAATAGCAGATTATACTGATAAGTCTGCTTGATTAGTTTAACCAATTGCTTTCTTATCATTTTAACTTTCACCATTTGTTGAATTTCTTAAAATGAATTGGTTTCTATAATGCATATTTAGTCATTTAAAATTTTTAAAGAAATAATCCAATCAGTAAAATCTCTTTTTTTTTTTGCTTTATATATAATAAGTTTTACATTTTCAAAGACTACTGAGGTAGCTACTTCTTTTAAGTCAACTAGCCTTTGGAAGCTTATGTAAATTTTGAGGCTGCTTACACATTATTTAGCTCATGACTTAAACAATTTCAAATAAAAGCAGCTATTTTCAATCAATCTTTAAAAATGTTAACCTTTAAAGATTGACTGAAAATAGTATAAAATAGAACTATATTTGCAAGATAGTTTACACTAGATGTCAGGATTGAATTACATACAAAACAGAATCAAGGAATAAATAAAACTGAAACACCAAGTTCTATGGTTAATATAAGTTTTATGCACAAAATGTTATCAGTTGATATTACACAAAATATTAGGTATAGTGCCTTACAACATTATTCACCCCCAGCAAAATTTCCATATTTTTTGCTGTCTGAGCTTGCAATTATGAAACTTCCAAATGGAACTTTATATTTCGAATGTACACAATCTACAACAAACTCAGAAAGCTAAAAACACTGATATTATGAAAGTTAAATTTACAAAGAAAATTTGAATATTCTGAATTGCATAAGTATTCAACCCCTTTGCTACAGCAACCCTAAATCAGTTCAGGTGCAAAAGATTAGTTTGAAAGGTCACAGCATTAGTGTAATGGTCTCTGTCTGTGTGTAACCAAAGTGGTTTAACTTAATTTCAGAGTAAATGTATCGGTTCAAGCAACAACTCACATAGTGGTATGACAAACCAACCATGAAGACCAAGGTGCTCTCCAAACAAGTCAGGGATAAAGTGGTAGAGAAGCAAAGATCAGAAGAAGGTTACAAGAAAATTTCAAAGTCGCTGGTTATCGCTTTGAGTACGGTGAAGACCCTCAATTAAGAAGTGGAATGTGCTTCATACCACACAGTCACTACCCAGATCAGGCCACCCTTCCAAACTAAGCAGCCAGGCAAGCAGGAAACTGTTTAGGGAGGCCATTATGAAGCCAACAGTGACTTCGAAAGATTTGCAAAGTTCCACGTCTGAGATGGCAGTCAATGTTCATACATTGGCAATATCTTGGTTCCTACACAAAGCTGGCCTTTATGGGTGAGTGGCAAGAATGAAGCCATTACTGAAAAAGAATCATCTTAAATTTTGTATGGAGTTTGCAACAAAGAATGTAAATGATACTGCAGACAGTTTTGTGGTCATAAGGGAACAAAATTGAGCTTTTTTTGGTCTAAATTCAAAGTGTTACGTCTGGCGCAAGCACAACACAATCCCATCTGTCAAGCATAGTGGTGGCAACATCATGTTAAGGGGATGCTTCTCACCAGCAGGGACTGGGAAGCTTGTCAGGATTGAGGGGAAGATGGATGGTGCAAAGTATAGGTGAATCCTTGAGGAAAACCTGCTTGAGTCAGCCAAGAATCTGAAACTGGATTGAAATTTCACATTTCAGTAAGACAATGACCTGAAGCACAAGGCCAAAGCCACACTAGAGGGGTTTCAAAAGAAGAGAGAGTGAATGTCCGAGAGTAGCCCAGTCAATGTCCTGACTTGAATCCAATAGAAAATTTATGGTGAGACTTGAAGATTGCAGTCCATCACCAATCCCAAACAAAGTTGTCAGATAAAATCATAAATAATATTCAACGTTAAACTGGTACACAATTAAAAACATTTTATTTAGGCATATCTATGGCCTCCTGAGGATAATGTTG